CCCTTTTTTACATTAATATTGTGATTTGATTTGAAATTTAAATATATATTGGTGTGTGTTGGTTTTCTATACACCTGAGTCTCATATCCAGTATCGTTCTTAGAGATCAAAACATCCAGGAAAGGTAGCGTGTTATTATATTCCTTTTCCATGGTAAATGTTATTGTCTCTTCTTTATCGTTTATATCATTTAGGAATGTGTCCAACAACTCTGATCCATGAGGCCATATTGAGAATACATCATCTACATACCTCCATCATACTGTGGGTTTTAAATTTTGTTTAGAAATGATATTTGTTTCAAAATCTTCCATAAATATATCGGCTAAGAATGGAGATAAACTAGAGCCCATTGCTAGACCAAAATTTTGTTTATAGAATTTATTATTTAGTTGAAAATATGTATTATCAGTACCTACATAATGTTAATAACTCCATTATAGCCGATATGTTTAGTCTTGTTCTAGTTGCCAATGAATCATCACTCTCTAATTTTGTCTTGACTATACTTAAAGTCAGTGGCGGCTCGTGACTTGAGAGACAAGGTCGGCAAGGTATTTTTTGTCTCCTCAGATAGGTATACCGTCTAATAAAGACTTCAATCATCATACGAGATTTTTTGTTTTCTAGTTTTTTTTTTTGTTTTTTCCTATAAATTTAGAACCTAAACATGTTTATAAATTAACTCTAGTCTACGTTGTTTGGAAGTAGCAAAATGGGTAATAACGTCATCGTAAAATTTATTAGTTTTGGAGAGATTTTAAATTTTTTTTTTCTATTGACATTTGAGACAAGCTTGACATTCCCTCTTGTTTCATGGTATTTCGACAATACGTTTTGATTCTTTTGAGGCAAGAGAAATCTCGTTCATTTGAGGCAAACGTTGGTGGTAATGAGAAAATTAATGACAATAATTTATTAATTTCGGTAACAGTTTGTTGTAATGAATTGCAGTATATAAAATTATACATATCTTGTAACTTATCCCATCTTCCGAAAATATTTGGATCAGCATATAAAACTTTTAATTCGTTTTCTAATTTTATTTTATTAAAGAATGATGGATAATTTTTAATTAACCTGTCTAATAAATATCTTGGAAATTCTTTGGGGTAACTTTTAAATTTTGAATCAAAAAACGAGTATCTATTTGCATAATAATAGTATCCAAAATTTCAAAATATACTCGTTTTTCAAGATCTGTTTCTGTGTCATGCCTTTGTCTTTTTTTTGGGGGTTCGGAAATATCAAGCGAGTCCAAAACATCACTGCATATATACTGGAAATTACTATCATTACAAAATCTCTGAGATTTTGCACCAGTCTTGTTATTCTATTTTTGGAATGAATAATGTCAGTTAACTGATTTTGAACAACATTGAATATCAAATCGGTTTGGGTAAACACTTTCTTAAAAATATTTAAAAGTATGTTAAAAGAGTAATCATTTAATAAAGTTTTCAAACTGATTGCTTCACGGATCGAGATATCATCACTTTCAAAATCGTCACATTTAATAATAAAATCAAAAACTTTCAAAAGCTGTTCACGAAAATCTGCTACAGTGAAAACTAACCGAGATTTAAAATTCCATCGCGTCTGACAAACTGTTGGCATTTTTTTCGAAACAAACCATTCTAAAACATTAGTCCGTTTAGGAGAGCTTGAGAAAAATTAAGCAAATCCTTAAATTGGCAAAAAATACGACATTCTTTAATTTTTTTACATGTATCTTGCAAAACTAAATTCATTCTATGCGCATGACAATGAGTAAATAAAGCTTGCGGTGCAATAGTTTTAACTTTTTCCTGGGAGACAAGACCATTTAATTCACCAGACATCACGGCAGCGCCTTCATAAGTTTGCCCTACCAATTTATTTTTGATATCAAAAAATTTTAATCTGTCCTTTAAAACACCAAAAATATGCTCTGTCTTATGACTTTTACTCACGTTTGTAAAACCTAAAAACCTCTCATAGATATTACCACGTAACGCGTATCGAACAACAATTGATAATTGTGAATGACATGATATGTCGGTAGTTTCATCTACTTCTAGTGAAAAGCAAATGGTTTCCTGAATCTCAGATTCAATAACGTTACTCGAAATGTAACTAATTGATTCTATTAATTCATTCTGGATTGGTTTAAATACACCGCTAAATGTCTTCGAATCAGAAAGTAAATTAGAAAATTCCAAATCGTATTTCTTAAACATTTCGTTATCTTTAATAGCATTTTCACGTTGGGCATTATCTAATGAAACATAGATATTTTGTTTTCCAAATAAATCTAATTTAATCTGGCTGTAAGTATGATCTTTCGAAATATCATGTTTATGAAAAGCCCTAAAGAATTCCTTTAAATTATCGTAACCAGATTCACACCACGGATTTTGATGTTTGCCCCTATTTGTCGAAAATAAAATGCAAGGCCAACAGAAAGTTTGTTTTTTATTTCACTCCCGGTAAGCCATGAGTACTTGCTGTACCAATTATCTGAAAATGATCTATTACTTCCCTTACCCGAAACTAATATTTATAAGCCGGGACATTTTAGGCAAAGGACGCCCCTTATTTTTAATAACAATTTGTTCTTCGTATGGAATAGATGAAAACCCATTATGCAAAATATAATTTACAATATCAGACTTATCAGTACTTAGTTTCTCCCATGGCTTGGATTTTTTAGGTTAATTTGCCTGAATTTGTTTACACTTTAATTTAAAACTTCTAATATGTCAAAAAACCCTTTAACCTTTAACTATTTACGGCAGACGTAACGTATCACAGTATTACTTTAGAAACTAAAAATAAATCACAAAACGAAAGGCTAGTTCGTGCACTGAATATCATTTCATTTTACTACATATATGAAATAACATTTCGTCCCACGCTCGCAATGTACAGTTCGCGACCAATCACCAATCCAAATGAAACATGGGCAAATTTGAATTTGCCGTATTTGGGAATTAAGTTCATATGAAAAGAAATGTATATTTGGTTGCTAATCAACCAATATTCCGTTGATTTTTACAAGTAAAGTCAAGGTTGGGATCGGCTAGCCGAAAAAACAAAACGTGCCTTTTTAAGAATTCATAGGTGGATGGATGTCTCCGATATTATATCGGCGATATCGGATCATCAATTTGAAAAGTGTCTACGCAGGGATCACTTAACGCTCAGATTGGACGAATTCTTTTAAAAACCATGAATAAAATTTAGTCTGGTCGAATTCTTTTAAAAACCATGAATAAAATTTAGTCTTTATTATCTCACAGATATTTTTTTAGTTCACAAAAACAAATGACATCAACTGATTACCTGCCACAATTATTTATTGAAATACTGATTAAATTAAATATTAAAAAATCTATAATATCTATAAAGATGTGGGTCGGCACTGCCGACCCTGACCGGCGCCACTGCTTAAAGTCTTATTAATGGCACATTCGTAAATAAACTATTTATGTCAAAATTTACTAAAGTATTATTTGAATTAAATTCAATATTTGATAATTTATTTAAAAAATGTTTTGTATTTTTTATGAATGTGTCATTTTTATTTGTAAATGGTTTTAAAATATTTAAGTAATAAAAATTTTGATAGTTCATTACAAGGAGAATTCATGGTACTACAAATGGGTCTAAGTGGTATATTCGTTTTATAAATTTTCGGTACTCCATAAAAATGAGGAGTCTTACGGTAATGAGGTGTAATTAATCCTCAATAATAATTATTGAATTGTCAATATAAATGAGTCAGATAAAATTAAATTATTAGAAGAATTTTTCACTATGTAACAAAAAACAAAATTTGTTTAATTTACTGTTTGTATTTTGAGAACGATTTCTGAAGTGGAAATTGAAACGTCAATAAACGTATTTTTATCTTTAATTGTGGCTTATTACCAGTTAAATAGTAATTATATATATATATATATATATATATATATATATATATATATATATATATATATATATTATAACGGAGAAGAAACAGATCACCTAAAAATACTACGTGGAGTTAGACAGGGATGTATCCTATCGCCGTTGACATTTAATATGTAGGTACTCAGAGAAAATTTTTAACGAGGCTCTTTACGGAATAGACGAAGGCATCCTTCTAAATGGTGAAAGAGTAAACAATGTTAGATATGCCGACGACACCATGATGTTAGCAGATAGTTTAGAGGGACTTCAGAGGCTAATGGACAGAATAAACGAGTACAGTCAACAGTACGGACTAAACATTAATACCCACAAAACGAAACAAATGATTATCAGCAAGGAGAATATAAACGGGGCTCATCTATACATTAATGGGACGCAGATAGAGCGAGTAAAACAGTATTGTTACCTGGGAACTATTATTAACGAACAGTGGAGCAATTTACAGGAAATAAAGTGCCGCATAGTTAAGGTAAGAACGGTCTTTAACAAAATGAGCGCCATCTTCAAAAGTCACAACATATCCCTTGATACAAAAATGAGACATTTGACATGCTATGTTTTCTCTGTGTTGTTGTACGGGGCGGAGGCATGGACAATTACAGACACCACTATTAAAAAACTTGAAGCATTTGAGATGTGGCTTTATAGAAGAATACTGAGAATATCATGGACAGCAAGGATCACGAACAAGGAAGTTCTAGGAAAAATTAAGAAGGAACCAGAGATTGTGTTTACGATCAAACGCATAAAATTGCAATATCTGGGACACGTTATGAGAAATCAGCACCGTTACTCCTGCTACAATCTATATTGCAAGGTAAAGTCAAAGGTAAGCGAGGACCCGGTAGAAGGAGAATATCATGGCTGCGGAATTTAAGAACATGGTTTAAGAAAACCTCAACGAAGCTGTTTCGAGTCGCAGCGAGCAAGGTTATGATTGCCAACATCCGAAACGGATAGGAACCAGAAGAAGAAGAATATATATTTAATCCTCAATTAGTTTAATTATCATTGCTGGATTGGGAGAACATGGAAGGAAGCTAAAAATATTTTAATTCTAATTTATTTACAAAACAAAGTTACAACAGTTACAACAACAATACAAAAATTTATTGCCTGTAAATCACAACTGCAGGTACTACTTTACCAATAGAAAAATATATTGTCACATTTTTAATTTACAAGGCAGAACCTATTTCTAAGCTAGTCTGGGATAGCTATTTTTTTGGAAACAAACCATGGCTATAAAAAAACACTTTATTTGTTTTATTTAATTGTTTTCAAATTGGCTTAGGGTATGAGTTGGTCTAAATAAAATTAATACAATTAAGTAAAACAACCAGGGGTAATAATAAACTATTGAGGCATAGTATGAATCCTATGATCTTCCCTTTAAATAACCCAGATGACATTATTTTTACATAAATGATATAATGAAATGATTGAAACATTAAGTAATGAGTTTATTTTATAATTTGGATTTATTCCCTAAAAATATTTGATGTCATATCTAAAGAGTTGCAGAGCAATATTTTTATTTTAAGATGCATACAAAAATAAAGTGGGGCATATAACAAATTTTGTACTTATAAAAATAACAGCTAAATATTGTTTTTCCCACATGTATTCCTATCAATAACCGCCTTCATTATTTCAATGTAATTTAACTGAAAATATATTAAACTCTTATAAAAGTATACCTCAAAAAAGTATTACACCAAATGTCTTATACTAAATCTAATGAAAAAATTTGTACAAAATATAAAATATAAGGTAAACGTGAGGAATATGATGCGTTTTCAATATCTTTCAAATTCTGCATGCTCGCGCGGGAAAGGTTTTGGGAAACGGTAGCATCCACCATTGTCACCAGATGAAGCATGTCTATGTTGGATAGTGATCCATCTGGAGGGAGCTTTGGTGTTGTGTACACTTTTGCAGGTAAACACCATAAAAATTTTATCTTAGTAATTTCAAAGTTTTGTAATTTGTCTTTTTAAAATTTTTTGTTGCTTTAGTGTATTCTACGTTGTTGCGCGTTCTGTAAACTCAAGAACATGACTTATTTAGACACAAAGCACTTCTTGTTTACTATTTGAATTTTTTTACTTCAAATGGCGTCGAGTCGGGGATATGACGCGCATCATATCTATCACATAAATAAAACATTTCTAATTTTTAATATGACTTATTTTTCTTTTGTAGATATGCCTAGCTACAAGTGTAAGAACATGCGGGACTGCTGGACTGAAGATAATTTTCGTGTTGCTTTCAAGGATGGCTCTCAGTTAGGGGTGCAGCTTTTAAAGTTTGATATACCGGAAAAAACCCTACGATTCCGACTCAAAACAAAGAACAGCATTAAAGGTAAGCTAGGACAACCGCCTGCCCTTGTCCTGGACGCAGAACAAAAATTAGTGCTTCATGTCAAGAGATAGCAGGTTACAGGGTATGCGCCTACAAGGGATGCACTTTGTCGAGTGGCTTTCAACCTGGCTGAACAAATGGACCGAGTTTCCTACGTCCATTTCAATGTAGAGAAACGCAAAGCAGAAAGAAGATGGCTTAACGCATTTCTCAAATGAAAGCCATCATTGGCGATTCGAAAGGCCCAAGGAGTGTCTATGGGCCGCCCGGATGGCATGGTAAAGGAAGAAGCGAATGATTATTTCAATTTGTTAAAAAAGACGTTAGAATCGTTAAACCTCTTGAACAAATCCGGAAATATATACAATGTAGATTAGTCAGGTTTGCAATTGAACAACCCCCCAAGCGGTTATAGCGGCCAAAGGCAGTAAGGCAGTTCAAGTGCGGCAATCAAAAGAACAAGGATAGACAGTGACAGTTGTTGCCTGTTGTAATGCAGAGGGAAGTTTTTTACCTCCCTACGTAGTGTTCAAAGGTGTATACAAACAACAAGTGTGGCTCGATAATATGCCTAACGGTTCTGAAGTGGTGATGGGTGGAAAATCAGCTTACATAAATGAAGACCTCTTTAAAAATTGGCTGGAAAACCACTTTATTCCAAGGAAGACAGCTGGTACATGCCTATTACTGCTCCACGGACATGGATCTCACACTAACTCGCCGGACATATTAGAGATAGCGCTGGAAAATGATGTCAACTTTCTTTGCCTTCCCAGCCACATGACTTATTACTTACAGCCTCTCGACCGATCGTTTTTCAAATCGTTGAAGGCCTATTACCGAAGTGCAGCTATCAAATGGAGAAATGCAAATCCTGGAAAGAAGATAGAACGCAGGCACTTCAGCCAACTTCTATGGAAAGCCTGGTCACAAGCTGCTACAATGTCTACGGGTTTAGCAGGCTTCCGGACCTGCGGAGTGTTTCTATTCGCGCCCTCTATTCCTGATTATGCTTAGCTACAAGAAACCTTGGAGTCTGTAACAAATATGTAATGGCTGAAGCGCCAATGTAACAAAAATGGATGGGCTGGAGCGCCAATATAACAAGAATGTGTAGTGTAGCAATAGGGTAAACTCTAAAATGTACCTTGATACACCAACGAACTAATATGTGGAATAACAGAAGATGAAAGGGAGTAGATAGAAATAAATTATGTGAAAGAAATAAATCAAGGGTATTTATTATTTATCAACTGAATGGATGTACTTATCCCAAGCTCTATGATCACTGTAAGTGTAAGATCGAAGAGCAGTAACAATGCTACGATTTACACGTTCAGTGTGGTTAGCTTGCGGATGATAAGCTGCATTGTAGAATATCTTTTGGACCTTATATTTACTTAATAGATCTTTAAAAGCTTTAGAAACAAATTGTGGACCATTATCACAAGATACTATTTGGGGAATACCAAATAGTAAGAACACTTGTTCCTCTAAGAACTTCAAAATGGCTGGAGTTGTAGCCTTACGCAGAGGACAAACTAAAGGAAATTTGGTGAAGTAATCTACAACTACCAAACAATATGTGTTACCTAAATAACTACGTGGATACGGTCCAATAAGGTCTAAAGAGATCATTTGCCACGGAAAATTAATATTCCTAAACGAACCCATTAATCCAGCTTGAGGTAGGTTACTCGGCTTGCACGTTGCACAAACTCTACATCTAGAGATGTATTTCTTAGATAACAATATTGTAATCAAAGACAGAAAGCCTACAAATCCAACGGGACAAACGTTGTGACGGATTTTTCATGGAATGTAACCATAATAAAGAACTATGATCTGTGATGATAGTAAACTTACGACCCTCAAGATAGTACCGAAAGGCATCAAGACCATGGATAATTGCAAGAAGTTCTCTCTCTGTGGTGGAATAATTTTTCTGTGCTTTATTGAGCTTTTTGCTGGTATAAGCTATTGGATGTTCCGAACCATCCTTCATTTGAAATAATACACCACCTGAAGCAGTGTTGGAACAATCTGTCATGAGATAGAAATGCTCTTTAAAATTCGGAGACGTCATGACAGGAGCACTAGTAAGAGCTTCTTTTATACGCCGGAAAGCATCATCGGCTTCTGAAGTCCATGTAATGGTTTGGCCTTTTTTCCTATTTTTAAGGAGATCTGTAAGTGGGGATAACAAAGTAGAGTAAGACGGCACAAACCGACGATAATATCCACACATACCTAATATCCTACGGACTTGGGTAGTAGTCTTAGGTATAGGAAAATCTTTGATAGCTGTAACTTTATCAGGATCAGTCCTTAAACCTTTACTATCGACTACATATCCTAAAAATTTAAGACTAGGACGACAAAACTGACATTTATCTAAATTAATAGTTAAATTAGCCTCTTTGAGACGTGAAAACAACTTATCCAAAATTTCCATATGAAGAGAAAAATCAGGAGTGACAACCAAAATGTCATCCAAATAATAAAAAACATAGGGCTCTAACTGAGGACCAATGACTAAATCCATCAGACGACACATTGTCTGAGGAGCTGAAACAAGACCAAAAGGCATAGTGACAAACTGAAATAATCCTTTTCCACTAACTGCAAAAGCTGTATACTTTTTACTTTCCTCACTCAAAGGAATCTGTAAAAAGGCTTTAGATAGATCGATAGAAGAAATATACCTAGCATTCTGAAGTTTACTGAGAATGACGTCTATTCGGGGAATAGGATAAGCATCCCGATTTGTAGTAATATTATTCAACTTTCGACCATCGAAGCAAACCCTAAAAGATCCATCCTTTTTCTTGGTTAACCACAAAGGACTACAATAAGAAGACGTGGAAGGTTCAATGATATTCAACTCTAACATGGAATCAATTTCCTTTTCCAAGTCAACTTGCCAAGCCTGAGGAATAGGATACTGATATTGCCTAAAAGGTGTGGTATCTCCCACTTCGATAGTGTGAGATATTAAGGATGTACGACCTAACTTGTCTTTCGACGAAAGAGTTGTAAATTTAGAGATCATATTCTCTAATTGCCTTTGTTCGGAACTAGATAAACTAGTAAAATCCTGAATAGCACTAAGTAAGGACAAATTAAATTGAGAAATAGAAAAGGAAAAATTAGAACAATTTAGTGTGCTATTAAAAGCATTTAAGAAATCCATACCTAAAATTATAGAATTCTGAACTGAAGGAATAATGTAGAATGTAATTTGTTTACATAAATCTGCTACTGTGATTTCAGTTTCAAATTTGCCTGTAATAGACTGAACTGTACCATCTGCAGTAGACACTTGCAGAGAAGAAATGGGCATAATAGAAATCTCAGCATTTTTCAGTAAAGCTAATGACTGTGAACCTATCACAGAAATGTTCGAGCCACTATCTAAAAGAGCTAAACAAGATTGTCCTAAAATCTTAATAGGAAGATAAGGTCTATTATCATTATGTTTCTTCACTAATAATGAATTTAAATCAAAACAATCATTATCTGATTGGTCAAAAATTTTAAATGGTGCTAAACTAAACTTATTGTCTCTACCTACACAATCAGAGGATGCAACAGGCAAACACGAAGAATCAGAAATAAAAGAATCCTCCTGAATTGTGGTAGACTCTGGTATAGATATTGGAACTACTACACTGCTACTATTATGTTTATTACTAAAATTTGGGAAGATATTTGGGGAAGATAATCTATGTAAATCCGATGTATTATATTGGGAAGTTACTTCTTGGAATGACTTGGTGTGGTGTGTGTTGGTTTTTTGGAGACAACCCCTTTCCCTTTCCGACTGGAAGATGGGTTTGGGTGGCTTGACGTGGTTGGACCAGTGACTTCGTTTGATGTAACGGTTTGATTCCCTGATGGGGGTGTGGACGGAGAAACGCTCAGGGGACGGACCTCCGATCGTTCGTTTCCCGAACACCTAAAACAATTGCGTTTGAGGGTATTTTCTTTACCACAACCGTGGCAGAAAATACGGGTGCGAGGGATGCCGCAATCATAAAAAGTATGGCCAGACTCACGACAATTCCAGCACACTACAGAACTTAATGTGGAGATATTACGTTCAGAGCCCTTAGGTTGCCAAGAACGGTGTCTAAAAGAATTTGATGACCGAAAGAGTCAGAAGAGTGTTTAGAAGTGGTTGGAGGTTGAGAAGACCAAGATAAAGTTTCCTCCAAACGTTTACACTTCTCGGTTATGTCTGCTATACTGGTGATGTCTACTAAAGCTAATTGCTGATGATAAAATGGCAGTAGACATTTGAGGATGATCTTAATCTTTGCAGAATCTGTCAGAGGTGTTTCAAGGCGACTACACATACCCAAAATGTTATTTATAAACATCGTAACAGACTCGTTTGGCTTCTGTTTACGATTTTTGATTTGGTCTAGAAGGTCATCTTGAAATGAATATGGTAGAAAATCAGATTTAAGTTTCTGAGCCAAATCAGACCAGTTAGAAAAGTTAGTGCGGTTATTCATAAACCACGTAAAAGCTGTGCCTGTAAACAACTCAGCAGAAGCTGCAAAAAGATCATCTTCACTCACTCCTCTTGATATGCGAAGACATTCCACCCTATCCAAAAAAGAAATTACTTGGTCATAATGACCTTCACCAGAAAATGTAATCCCCCATTTATGAACCTGAACGGGTTTGGGTGTAGAAATGAGTTAGCTGCTTGGACAGAAGAAATAGGAGTTGATGTAGCAATGGGATTTACTCGTGAATCAAGTTCACCCTCTAGGCTAAGAATTCGGATTGAAGTTGAGCGCTTATAAGTTTGCTGCTCCTCATTCGAACAAGACAATAAATGAATACGGCCTGAGACATGAGCTAGACGTGATATCAGCCTGGAGTATAGGCTATCTTGGACAGTCCCTCTAAAATCGGATATCCTTTTAGCCAAATCATCCATAGTCTCATCAATCTCTTCTTGTTGTTCCAAAAAGGGAATACTGGTGGCAGAAATTTGTCGAAAGCTCCTATTTCCTTCTTCTTGCCTTAGAGCTCCACGCAATATCTTGCGTTTTAAATCCACATTGGAAGACGCATCAATGGGAATGTCCCTAATTCTCAACTCATAATCTAATTCTTTAACTAATAAATGTTCTACCTTGAATGCAGACATTGTGAAAGAAAAACAAATAGATGAATAGGTAGAATAGACAAGGAGATAATATACTCACACTCCACAAAACCAATCGAATAGTAATATAAAGTTTTCAAAAAAAATATAAGTAAATATGTACCAACACACCACAAAATCAATCCAAAAATAATTTCAAGTTATTCACAAAAATTTCAAAATGGTTAAGTAAGTTAAGTAAATATAAACACAATCCTTGAAGCAACACACAATGGTTTCAACAAGTATATGGTTAACAAATACTTGAATATAAAAAATTCACCAATATTGGCTAATATATATATGTATAAAAAATAGTAATATCTAAATTATTAACTTCTTAAAGTTCAATAATAGTAAAATAGATTGTTAACTGTACACAATGATATTAAAAGGTGAGGGTTTAAATATGAATATAAGTAAACTACAGCAATACAAGTATATCTATAAATGTAAATCATAAGAAAAACAATAAATAAATAAAGAAGTTAAAAAAAATAAACAAAGAGCAACAGGAACAAATTAGAAATAATACAGAATATTTTGCAAAGAGAAATATACTTCAGAATGTACGGTCTGAACTGAGAAAAGGCACCACGTTGGGAACGCCAATGTAACAAATCTGGGTTGGCTGGAGCGCCAATGTAACAAAAATGGATGGGCTGGAGCGCCAATATAACAAGAATGTGTAGTGTAGCAATAGGGTAAACTCTAAAATGTACCTTGATACACCAACGAACTAATATGTGGAATAACAGAAGATGAAAGGGAGTAGATAGAAATAAATTATGTGAAAGAAATAAATCAAGGGTAAATATGAATTTTAAAATATAATAAAATTAATGCTGGCTAGCGACTATGCAGGAGAATGACCACTTGACAATCAAAGAGGGATTCGGCCAATTTGCATGCCCTACAGAGACCGTAAGATGTAAGAATTAATGACTAGAAACTACCAAGAAATAAACAGAAGAAAGATAAAGTTGCTCTAATGAATATTTGGGCGCCAGGAAGTTAAATGGTTTCTTCCGAGATATCTTGTATTGCTGAAATATTAAAGGATAGGTACCAAGTGAAATCTTAAATTGTTTTAACCCAACTTTAATAAATACCTATATTATGTACAACTTATTTTAAACCCTTATATATAACAATATAACCCAACACCTCTTATATACAATTAACTAATCTATATTTACAATGAAAACCCTGAATATAATGATAAAATAATTTCCCTCCCCTAATGTACCTGATAATGTGAAATTTTGACTAAGGTTATGCAATAGTTAAATATATAATATAAAATGAAATATAATAATATAAACGTTCCAATTATCAAATAAATGAAATAAACCTCTCCAGATATGTGTGCACACTATAACCTGATAACGAGAGAGTCCAGGGGAGTTACAATCTCAACCCTTGGTGGACAATAAATGTTTTACTAAATTTACAATGACTATTGTTTTATAAAAATGAATGTAATTATTATTAAGTATATATTTTGAAAAAAAAATTGAAAATGAAATAAAAGTTAAACCTTGAAGAGGACGTTAAAAAGTTGCTACAAATATTTAAATCGACAAAAAAAATATTAGTTCTTCCTGTTAGTTTCTGCAGGTTTCCCTCGAGATCCTCTGGAAGAACTAGTCGCAGGTGGGTGATACGCCAAACCTGGACACCATATAAAAAAAGGTACTTTTAAATTAAGTCCTTACGATTCTTCTTAACCCAATTAAATAAAAATGACTGCTTATCTTCCAATTCCCAAAAAATTAAATAAAAGTTTTTTCTTCCCCCAGACCTGCACTGGATTCCGGACGTAGGCTAAAAAACACAGTTGTGTTACTAAAAATCCTTTGTTTGTACAAGAAAGTAAAAAAGAACCAAGAAAGGTCAAAGTTGCTTTTAAATTGACGCAAAAACTATGGTTTCTGAAAAAAAAATAACCTTGGAATTTAGATTTGACAATGTTTGAACGGATAAATTAAATAGATGATTTTTACGGAAGCTATATACATCATAGAATGGGACAAAAAAACCAAGGAAATATTAGCCGGTTTAACGGTATGGAATTGAAATAAATAATTGTTGGCTTTCATCCTCGTAAAGAAATAAAATTTGATGTTATTATAAAAATTTATTACTTGTAATCTGTTTAGGTATTTATGAAATGAATGAAATAGTACATAGAAGATAACAGATAGATAGATAGGTGGATCAGACTATATTTTGAGAGAGGATTATAAATAGATTTAAATTTCACCAACAATGGCGGATGATAGGACGTGTTTTTACATATAATTTATTTGTAATTTAACTTACCGACTGAGAGTGATCCCAACTTAATGTATTTTCACCAAAAACCAAAAACAAAATAAAATAACCAACTGGGTTTTCTTCCACAAAATAATAGTTTCTTCCAAATAAAATAAAACTTAAACCAAACTCTTAAACGAGGGACTCTCTCAGTCGCCTGAATACGCCTGTTCAACTCAAGGAATTCCAAGCAAGTGCCGGTCTGATGGCGCTAACGCTGTTACCACGATCAGAGGCGTAGACAGAGGGCGTGATTTATTGCCAACTTTTAAAAAATAAAATTTACCGAAGTTATTCAAATGTTTGGTTTAAGAATATTTCCAAATGAATTTAATTTGTAATTAAATTAAAGAATTCCAGTGACAAAGCAGTAAATGGGTATTTAAGTAACGGACTCGTTACAAGTCCAACTCTATGGAAAAGGGTGACGAAAGTGTTAGCTCAGCGCCTTGGATCCTCCTCAACCCAGCACATCTGGTTCACTCTGGTTCAACAGCCAACCCCCCCCCACCCGGATGCGCCACTGGCAACACGAAACTTCTACAAATTGTGTAACCAGTACCAAAATGCTCCTACCGTGGTGAAAAAGAAAGAAACAGCATGCTCATCTTTTGACAACGCCTGAAAATATAGAAGCTAAGAAGCCCAAATGAGCAATCAAAAGTGCAAAGCAGGAGAAGACATTCAAGCTTCGAAAGCCAGCAAAAAGAAGATCTTACTAGCAGAAGAATTGCCATCATCTTCTGGAGGCAAGTGGGACAAAAAATACTCTGATGATGAAATTGTAGATGAGGAAGATTTCCTCCAATGTGTAGAAAATGTTAATGTCTACGTATTGGTTGAGTTTCCAGGAAAGAGCAAGCCATTATATTATGTAGGTGTAGTCATTAGTATCAACAATGATGGCGTAGAAGTTAACTTTATGAAGAAAGGACAAGGTCAGTTCGTCTTTCCATGAGCTGAAGACACTGGTATTGTCAAAATGGAACAAATTAAGAAAATCCTGCCAAAACCTAATGTTCGTCATGGACACTTCAATTTTTTTGTTAAATTCCCTAACACCATGTAAGATGTATAGACAGTTTTACAGTTTTATTTTACCTCATTTCAATAAAAGTTGTAAAATTAATCACTCTAAATTTTTATTTTTGGTTTACATGTAATTTCCCATAGTCATATCCCCAACATCTAGTGCATCATATTACCCCCCCCCCTGTCGGGAATATGACGCAAAAGTTTACTTTTTTGTTTTTTAGATTATAGTAATTCTTATTGTAGGATTTAGCTGGAATTTATGCTGTGAGTACCTGATAGTACTAGATGTCATAAACACTAATCAATATGTTATTATTGGTATTACTGTTTGAGATCTGCCAAAAATCCAAATTGTGTGTCATATCCCCTATGTTTACCTTATTGAAAACTACATATATTTGTTTAATTATATTTGAAACTGTAGTTTTTTGTTAATAGAGAAAAAATTTGAGATCCGTCCCTTCTGTTATTTTGTAGTTCTAACCAGTTTTATATAATGGCACTTTCAACTACACACCACTGCTTGATTGATATGTTCAGATTAACAAATAAAACTAATAAATATAATGAATTTGCAGTCCAGTCTTGTACTAAGTATAAAATTTATTGATCATCCGTACTCTCCTGTGCTTCATCTCCTTCTTCTACTTCATTATTTTCTTCAGTGTTAGGCTTTTTATGTTTAACCTGCTTTTTAGATTTTGAATTTACATGTTCTAAAAATAAACAACAATTATATGCATCAGCAAATATTTTTAAAAAAAATTAGCATTAGCTAAGTAAATAAAGAAAAAAATTCATAATAAAAAATGTTGTAAAAGTGAAGTTGGAGAAAAATTTCAATGAATTAACTCCTTAATGTATGTGCCAATCTCTGACACAAGCACACCTTACTGGTCATTTTATACACATTTGTTTGGGAGACAGGCAACCTTAAATTTTTCAAGTCCTTGCTAATCTGGTATTTGTATAAAAACATATAAAAAACTAAATAGGGGTATTAGATAAATACATTTTTTTATTGCACAGCAAGTGTTGAGTCATTGTAAAATGATATTTATTTATCTAATAACTTACAGTCAGAACCATTGATAATTGATTTACCCAAATTTTGTTTTGTAATTGAATTAAAATTTTGTTTATATATGAAGCACTAGTTTTCCTGAAGTGAATTACGTTTTCTTGGAATTTTTTATTAAGTTAATTTTGTATATAATAATGGCAGATATGAACATAATATGCATTTTTTATTTCATTAGAATTTTTATGCATCCCCTTAGTTAGCAGACATAATATGCAAGCACAAAACAGATACATAAAGATCTTTATATCTGAATCATTCAGAAAAAGTTAAGGAGGGAAGAAACAATTTTGTTTCAAATGGGCACAGTAATGGCGGTAAAATGAAAGGATAAGAAAGACATTTGTCTTTTATCTACGGTTAATAATTTACAACTAGAGGCAACAAAAAACAGGATAGAGAAAGAAATGCTATTTCGAAACATATTTTTTCATTTATTGGATATTTTGGAATGAAACACATTTATGTTGTGTTACGTTTATATTATTATAATATGAAAGAAAATATGACTTAATAATTCACCTCAGGTAAAGTTAAGGTGATGTCACTGAAAATACTTTTTTCAATTTAATTATATACCTACACACATATAATTTTCACTTGAAAAAATTTTTTCAGTTGACCAAAACTTCAAATTTAATGTGTGCATTAAGGGGTTAAACACATGGGAGGAATAAATGTAAAAAGCATTTACAGAAGAGCACGTGGTGCCGGTAGAGTTATTAGCCACACTAGAGACATATTTTATAATACAAAACTTAGTATTTACTAAAATACTAATTTAAAACTATTTACTGACCAAAAAATAACATAAAATTAGGGAATTACCAAAATCAGTGATATTATCACTAATGTATATACTCTATTTAGTCCAATTATACTGAGATACCTTTTAAAACTTCTTCTAGTGGCTCTATAAAATTTTCAAACTCCAATTCTTCTAAAGCTTTTAAAACATCATTTGCAATTAACATTTTTCTGTTATTGTTTTGAGCTTCATTTGATGCTTGAGAAGTAACATAGAGAACAAACACTGAGGCAGCTCTCGACAAAGCAGACCTTGCATCCTTTCCTATATAAACAGAATCAGGAAGTACTTCCTTAATAATTTTCTGTACTGTAGTATTCGGTAAATTTAAGTCCTCCAATCTTTCCGCCATTATAATAATTACTAGATTTTCAGACTTAACTTTATTTTAGTGTAAAAACAGTTTAGTTATAGTTACTATGGTTACTATCTCCCACCAAAAAAAAACACTTTAAATGTGAAGTTTTTTTAAATACCATCTCTTCTTCTCTGAGTATAATGTTAATTCATATAAAAGAGAAGACAAGGAAACATTCAGACAACTTATCTCTGTCACAGAATAATAAACAATCAGAATGCCCACTCTCAGATGCCGCCTTTGAAGTTTTTCAGCACGCGTGCCATGTTTTAGAAGGAAACACATAACACAGGAAGGCATATAATTTGTGAGGTTATGTAATTGTTTATATTCAATGACGTATAATATATAGACTCGGTGAACGCTTTAAAAAGTGTCCAAAACATGAATACCTTTGTTATTGTTTATTGTTTTGATACGAAGATGCACGAAGTTCATGATTTCTTACGAAGCATCACGAAGTTGATCTTGTGTTTGAAAACATCATGGACGTATGAAAACATTTTCTCCATTTTGTGTGACAAGCAAATTTTATTTTAAATTGTTGAGAGTTATTTACTTACTATTTTAGTAAAATGCCATACTATTTTATCAAAATAATTAGTTCTCTTATAGACGGGAACAAAAAGAAATCATAAATATGTAATTTTAATTAAAAAAATAATTATTGTCATTAACTTATAAATGAGCACGCCGCTGTTGTGATAAACATACCTTCAACCAATGACGTATAATACACGGTTCCTAGACTTACTCCGGTTGCCTCTTCCGACTGGGGTGGGGATGCTTGAGTTACGTCACAGGAATACACAAGAATACAGAACTCTTATTGGCGATTGAAACTGAATGTAGAGGGCAGGTCGATTGCAGTGTCATGGCCGATATAAATGGTATAAACAAAAACAAACATAACATTCGAATATTTACCATTGCTTTTCCATTTCCATGTTTAGTTTGGTTTAAGACGAGTTATTTGTATCATTTAATAATGGAAATTAACCTTAATGATATCTTTGAGTATTGTGGTGAAGCAAAGAGTCCATTGGTTGAAGGGGAAGCAGTTTTCAAGTGATGAATTCCTAAATTTTAACTTTAATGTTTGGAACTGGCTTGTGTATTGATGATGAATCCTATTTTGTGTATACCTGGGAACCCAGAATATAATATTCTGTGTAATGTTTGCCTTAACGTATATATGCATTATTATATCTTATGTTTTTAATATGTTAATTTTTATTTTATACTATTTTTTGACATATGTAAGTACTTTATTGTATATTAACATAAATAAATAACTTTAACTTGGCTTTATTGTAAAATAGTTCATTTGATTACATGAAATTAACCTTAACTTGAGATCACCTCTCAGAAAATATAGCACATGATTTGTCTTTAAAAAATTGCATAATAAATTATTTTTTTTATATAATAATTGCATAATAAATTAGTTTTTCAGTTTATTCTAGATTGGATTTAAAATACTTTAACGTAGTCATAATGCTGAAATTTACTAAAAATAATTAATAATTATATTCAAATCAACAGCTGTCTGGTTTGTTTATACCACTTTTATGCCTGGTATTATAAAACATTTTACTTGCTAAGTAAAATTTAGTTTGAAAGTAAAATAATTTACTCTGCAGATTTGCGTATTTTAAACACATAGTAAATTAATTCTGGAAGTAAATCTGCAAACTAAACTATTCCTTAGTTTTCTACCAAGTAAATTTTATTTAACAAGTAAATATGACAGTTTCAATGTCTTTTCGGCTGGTGTGAAAATATTTAGATTTAATAATATTTTGAAATGTCTTCAGTATCATCAGTGTCAGATGTTAATTCTCCAACTGTATCTAGTGTTGATAGTGACTGGTATTTTTCAATAAATATACAGATGGATTGTGATGCAAATTTAAATGTAATCAATGTAGTTGCTAGATGGCCTGGTTACTCCCACAATAGTCATGTATTTGATAATTCTCTGATAAGAGCTCAGTTTGAAAACAATGAGTTTTGTGAAACATATTTACTGGGTGATAGTGGTTATCTATGCCGAAAATATATTTTAACTCCCTTACATGATCCACAAACGCCAGCTGAAAGGAAATACAATTATACACATATCCACACACAGAATACAATTGAAAGAATGTTTGGTGTCTTAAAGAGAAGGTTTCCTTGTTTGTCTACGGGACCAATGGAATAGAAACACCACTAAATTGATAGAAATAAAATCTTCCGTCCTTCCATGATACTTCAGGCCTTCAAAGCGACAACATCAAATCCCAATAAGAAGTCTCAGATTAGGACACACCTCTACAACACATGAAGACTTGTTGAAGAGAGAAAAGTGTGTTATGTTTGTGAATATAAAGTGATAATGAAGCACATACAGTTGCAAGACTATATCACCTCATTCCAAAATGTAAAGAGTGTCTAGTCAGTGTAAATAGAGCTATTCCAATTATAGTGGCAATTTGTGTATTGCATAATATATGTAGAAGGAGGAATGATGTGCTGACTGATAGTGAAGATGGCAGTAATCACGCGGAGTCAGAAGATAAAAATTTAAACAAGGTCACTAGAAATCAAGATAATTTTGCTGTAAGAAATGCTGTCATTCGTACTGCATTTATTAATTAAATAAAATGTTTATTTTAAAATTATTTACGGTTCAATAAAACATAATATAAGAATTATGAGTGTTTTAATTATTGTATATGTATTTTTAATTTAACAAAAAAAGTGTTGACAATTCAAATAGTCACAGAAATAAAATTAACTTAATTGTGTCAACTTTTTCTTATTAAACTCTGGTAATAAATCTATGAAACAAACTAAATATAACACCAGTAACTTAATGAATATGATATTTATGATACTATAATGAACATGTATTTTTATTACAGAATTTTTCTACAATAAATACATACTTATAAGAAAGTGTTTATACCCACTTTTAACAGATAACTTTGTGAAAAATAGGCAAAATGTTACGGGATCTATTAGTATTTCATTTATCTATAATATTCTCAAGCGATACATTGTCATTTCAAGGAAGTCATGAAAATAAGATCATATCAGCAAGTAGATACATAATCCTTTCATTTTACGGTATTTGAAAAACAAAGTATGTACATATATTTCAGTTTCATTGTTCAGTTTTTTGTGTTTATTATTATTCTTGAGTAAAGTGTTTGATTTTAAGACGGCAAAATGGAATTTGTGTTGTAAAAATATTAGATGAAATAAGCATTCCTTAACTTTTCCAGAGGACACAGCAAGGTTTGTAAATTATTATTTCCTCTTAAATATTGTTTGGGTACCAGTATATGATGTCATTTATATGATACTTCTACAATAATAAGATAACCAATTTTTATTTTAATAACTAATTTACAATAATATAAAATTAACCAAACGGTATTAAATTTCTAAATTCTCGAACTCAACCCCATATTGATGTTTCAGTTGTAGAATCTTTTCTTTAACTGCCAACTCTTTTGTGTCTGTTTCTCTTTTCTCTGTTTCTGTTTTTCTAATTTTAAAACGTCTCTACTTAACTCTTCCTTTTCTTTTCTAATTTTAAGAATACTTAATTTTATTTTTTCCTTCTCTGAATCTTCTTCACACTTATTATTCTTTTTGTGATGTGGGACTTAAAGGCAAACTAAATGCACGACCAAATACTTACCATGTCGAGATAGCATTATGGGGTTTTTTCCTGGTTTTTCCCTCATAATTTACTATGGAATCACTAACAGGAGAATTTTACTGTCATCATGGCATGTGTTTGTCTTTTTAAAGATGAATTACATGCTATGATTTTTTTCTGACAGATATTCTCAAGTTAATGTTGATTTCATGTAATGGAATGAACTATCTTATAAGTAAAGTCGTTCCAAGAGCACAACTCAACAATATTGGCAATATCATTTTAAAGTCGTCTACTTTAAAATGCATAATGTATGTCTGAATTGTCAATATAAATGAGTCAGATAAAATTAAATTAATAGAAGAATTTTTCACTAAGTAACAAAAAAACAAAATTTGTTGTTAGTGTTTGTATTTTGAGAACAATTTCTGAAGTGGAAATTGAAATGTTAATAAACATATTTTAACCTTTAATTGGGGCTTATTCCCAGTTAAATAGTAATTAATTTAAAATGCCACAAGAAAATAGCTTCAGAACAACATTAATTACATATGTTTTACCTTTCTGTTACTGCTTGGCATTTTGCAGGGGTGACAAGAAATTTAACATATCTTGGCAACAGATGTTCTACCATCGCATCAGTTACTTCTGTCAATACTTTACTAAAAGTGGACCTTTCCATGGTAAAAAAAAATAAAATATAGTATATAATAAAATAAAAAGTAAATAAAATATAACATATTGGAATATATTCACTCAATTCTTAATATAAACAACATATCTTGGTTTCATGTGCTAAAGCATTTGATCTTTGCACTTGTCTTAGATGGGGCTGGAGACTTTCGAACCAAATGCAAAGACAATTCCCTCGATAACTTAAATATCTTTTAAAATACGGCTTCCACTAATTCCACTGGATTTACCAAATCTCGCAAAAGTCTTCTCTGAATGTTTTCTTCATCCCTATCAATAAAATAATTTTGTTTACAAAACATAACCTAAATAAATAATATACTATCAAAGAATATAGACGCTTATAAGCGTCTATATTCTTTGATACTATAATTAAAAATATCTTTAACAAACCTTCTAATAGCATCATCTAATTCTTCTAATAACTCATCGTTTAGAATCCGGCCAAAATTCTGGACTAAATAATTCATTTTATATTTTTATTAACTACACGTTATTCCCATCTACAAATAGTATGAGATTAAATCATCTCATTAAATTGAACCTGTTATCAGAGAATATAATATATTATGTTAGCAAGATAACGTAAAACGTTACCACATAACGTTTTTTTTTACAAACGTTATCTGTGATACATGATCATGATACATGATACATCACATCATTTATTTTATTTATAAAACATTTTTGTTTTGATACATCCATCCAATCACAGGGCTGATTTTTAAGATTCAAATTACGTCACAGGAATACAGTTCAGCTTAATGTTCATTGGTTAGGCGGAAGAGGCAACCGGAGTAAGTCTAGGAACCGTGCGTATAATATATAGACTACGCAGTTGTGACGCAGTCCCCTATTCTCGCTATAGAATCGAGTGTCCGAAAGATCTCGGCTCAAGGTTGAAGGTATGTTTATCACAACAGCGACGTGCTCATTTATATGTTAATGACAATATATATTTTTTTAATTAAAATTAAATATTTATGATTTCTATTTGTTCCCGTCTATAAGAGAAATAATTATTTTGATAAAATAGTATGGCATTTTACTAAAATAGTAAGTAAATAACTTCAACAATTTAAAATAAAATTTGCTTGTCACACACAATGGAGAAAATGTTTTCGTACGTCCATGATGTTTTCAAACACAAGATCAACTTCGTGATGCTTCGTAAGAAATCATGAACTTCGTGCATCTTCGTATCAAAACAATAAACAATAACAAAGGTATTCATGTTTTGGACACTTTTTAAAGCGTTCACCGAGTCTATATATTATACGTCATTGCCTTCAACCTTGAGCCGAGATCTTTCGGACACTTGATTCTATAGCGAGAATAGGGGACTGCGTAGTCTATATATTATACGTCATTGTTTATATTTATGTTTAATTATATTATATTTAACAATGTTAATATAATTGTATAGTATAGCATTTTTCATATAAAAAGCTTGCACGTCATTCAAGATGTACGTCGTCAGAACCCACAGCGTTGCCAAAAAATCAGAATAGTTAGTAAGTGAGGAATTTTTAAAATGTCAACTATTTGTCAAACTAAAACAGTGATTCCCCTTAGTTTTAAGACTACTGCCACTAAAGCCACTAAATTACATAAGAAAACATTTTAATACAAAATTATATATTCTAAATTTTAAACTTACCACTTTTAAGAATTTCAATAGTAAAAACGTCCCGCCATTATTTCTTGTTCAAAATAATCTATCTTATATGAAGGCTGATCAGCTTCCTACAGACTATTTATTTGTTTTGGCATATCACAATACACAACAATAATTAGTTTTTAATTTTTAAAGATAAAAATACGTTTATTGACGTTTCAATTTCCACTTCGGAAATCGTTCTCAAAATACAAACAGTAATTTATTTATTTATTTACTTACAATTTACTGTTTGTATTTTGAGAACGATTTCCGAAGTGGAAATTGAAACGTCAATAAACGTATTTTTATCTTAAAAAAAAATAGTTTTTAAAGCTATTAATCTAAATTTAATAGGTATTTATAAATACAATTAATTAATATATATTATATTATGATCAAATTGTGTAAGAAATCAAAACGTAAACAACGATCCTACTCTAAAAAAGCGGCAACACTTTATACACTTTGACCACACGCTGATTGAGGCTGAACAACATAATAATAAACAATCAGAATGCCCACTCTCAGATGCCCCATTTGAAGTTTTTCAGCACACGCGCCATGTTTTAAAAGGAAACACATAACACAGGCACAGAATAATAAACAATCAGAATGCCCACTTTCCATGGAAAATTAAGTACGCGCATCTCATTCGCGCAGAAGTTCCGCCATGTTTTAGAGGGAACCAGTGTTGTTTATGTGGTGTGCATAGAAAAATTATCCCGGTTTAATTGACTTACGGCAATCATAGACATACTATACAATTATATTAACATTGTTAAATATAATAAGATAAATATAATGTAATTAAACATAAATATAAACAATTAAATAACCTCACAAACCATGTCTGTGTTTCCTTCTAAAATATGGCGTGCGTGCTGAAAAACTTCAAAGGCGGCATCTGAGAGTGGGCATTCTGATTGTTTATTACTCTGTGACACAGTCATATGATTTGTGAGGTTATGTTATGTTTATATTTATGTTTAAGTATATTATATTTATGTTATTATATTTTAACAATGTTAAAATAATTGCATAGTATGTCTATGATTGCCATAAGTCAATTAAACCGGGTTAATTTTTCTATTCACACCAATGGAGAGTGGGCATTCTGATTGTTTATTATTCTGCGCCATGGTCATCACCAGTCATCACTCAACATGTCAATGTTGATTGTGTGAATTCGTGAATTGGAATTGAGTGACTACCAATGACAGCGTAAACGTCAGAAAAATCGAAAACAAGAAAATTGTCGCAATTACTGAAACTATATTTTATTGTTGAAAAAATGTCTTCAAACAAAAAAATAGAAGATGGATTAGAACATATTCGAAATGCAGAAAAGAGGTAATGTGCTTAATAACTGTTATAAACTTTATTACAATCAAACATTTCTAGTTTAAAAACTTCCCTCTTGAAGTGGCGACCTGATTATGAAAACGCGGCCGATGAATACAACAAAGCAGGTTTGTTATTTATTATTTATATATATAATTATTTATTATATATATTAAATATAATATAAAAACTATTATTTATTCTGAGCTGTCACTTATTATCTATTACTATTAATAATAGTTGGATGGATATATAATAAGAGTGTAGATATTAACAATATCTATACTGCTATTATTTGTTAAGAGCTATAATTTATTTATTAATATCTACAAGAACCCTCTTTAAGTATTGACTTCTTACAAGGGAACAACATACAATTTTTATCCTATTAATAGGTTGTATATTATAATGCAACAACATAATAAGTACATGTATAATATGTAGACAAGTGTATAAGCAAATGTCTTGGACATTGTATAATACTGAAGAAAACGTTGTTTTTTGACATTTTTGTTAACACAATTTAAGAAATTTCTATGGCATTATTTTCTATGTATCACAGCCTGACGAAATAAATTTAACCATTAAAGTTACAAAATTAGTTAACTCCTAGAAAACATATGAAATAACCAAGTAAGCTTTTGAAGCAGTTTTCTTGTAAGTTATTTTGAAATATTTTTGAGATCTTTGAGTACTTAATATTGAAAGTATTATTAAAATTAAAGACTAACAACTCAAGAAATTTGGATCAGTGGCACAACTAGAGCAATTATAAACAAATTTAAAGCAATTTTAAAGGGAAGATAGAAGCCTACTCATAGAAAACAAATTAAATTTTATTGGGTACATGGAAGTTCAAGATCAAAATTGTATGTATCACCTCTTTAGTATAGATTGGTTAATTTTTATGTATTGTTTGTAGATGTTTAATTACAAAATGTTCATGTGTTATTGCTTCTTGGATTCTTATATATGCAATGAGGTACATATATTTATGGAATATAATAATTATTTCCTTTGTTATCACATTTAAACAAATACTTATTTTTTTTTAAAAAATTAGACTTTCTGTCTTAACAGGATGTAAACATCATGTTTTAAAGGGTTTTTATTTTCCTACTTGCCACTATAGAATTTTTTGATTTATCAACATTTACATTCCAGAAACAACAATTCTTATGATTAAATCAATTTACTAACTATCGTTATATTTACTCAGAAGAAACTGAGAATAAAAGAAGAAAAATATGAAACTAAATGAGAATAAAAGAACCTTTCTAAGATCTCTATACAATTTCTCAAGATAACTGTTCTTTAATGTTTGAACAATAGAGATTAACAACAAACCCTAAGAAATAGTGTATATTGTCTCACCAAAGATAATGAGACTAAAACAGCTGCAAAGATATACAAATACATCTTCAGACCAATATTGGATTCTAGAAGTATTTTGTTTAGTACATGCAGACAAACTTTGAAAATTTAGAGGTTGCTGAGATAAATAGCATGGGGACAATAACAAGTACAATATACTCCAATATCCCACTTCATAATACTATATTTTGACTATTGAACTATTTTTCTCTAGACTTTCTATTTATTTAGTCTGCTCTTTCTTATTACCTATTTGTGATAGCCTGTTTGGGCATTTTATTATATACCTTTTATAAAGGATTTGAAATAAATTTTTCTTATTACCTGTTCCAGTAATGTACTGAACAGAGTTTTAGATAGCATAAGTATCGGCTTGTTTTAGTCATTGTTTTTTTTTTTCGAAACTGTCTGAAAGCTTAATGTCATACCTTATCCTCATAATAACATCCATACTTTGCAAGTATCATAGCAAGGAACTCCAAAGCACAAATTGAAATGTTCTTTGAATATTTCTTTGTAAGTATGGAATTTCACCTCAACTTCTGGATACAATATTTTAAACAGCTCAAACATTTTGTTAATATTTAGGTCAGGGTAAGAGCACTGTTTTTTGTTGGAGTTATTATTATTATTTATTTCCGTACCTCGGAGGTAAAGGACACTATGTCCATTTTCTTACTTTTTAAGGAGAGCAGTTTTTAACATTTTTTAACTTTGTAATCAGTAAATACTCAAATGTTTCTGATATTTAACCAAAATTAATATATTATATTAATATTATTATATATTATTAATTAATTATATTAATTTTGGTTAAATATCAGAAACATTTGAGTATTTACTGATTACAAAGTTAAAAAATGTTAAAACTGCTCTCCTTAAAAAGTAAGAAAATGGACATAGTGTCCTTTACCCCCGAGGTACGGATTTATTAACGGATATACCATTTACATTGGAACAATATATAATATATAAAATTTTACAAAGTAAGCATAACATTGGAAAATAATTAGTAAGTTTAACAAAAACTAATAATTAATTTAAATACAAACTAATATCACACAAATAGCAGTCTCTTTATCACATTTTTAAATTGTTCTAAGGACTGGAAAAATAAGTCCAGATCACTTTGGTACCTATTATATAGTCTCACCATATGAGTAAGAGGCTTGAAGTATTCATAATTAAATTGATGAAATGGTAGATGAAATAATGAAGTATGCCTAGTTCCATGAAGAGTGTTAAGACCTAATCGATTTAAAAGTTCAGAGCAATTTATCAAATTATGTATTAACAATTTTGTAAAGGAATATTAGGCAAAAATAATCTTTTCGCTGATTCATAGAAACCATTTTCAAGTGATCAGCTATCATACTATAACTGTATGGGACAGAGAGGTCATGAAAAGCACTACAGTAATGATAGTGTTTACCAAATTTATGCTGAACACGATCAAGCTTTTCTATAGATGTTTGATAGTAAGGTCCCCATACAACTATTGCATATTCTAGTCTAGAGCAAATGAGACTATTAAAAAGAATTGGTAAAACAAAACATGAAAATTGAGAAGTGTTTCTAGTTATAAACCCTAACTGTTTAAATGCACTGTTTACTGTGACCTCTAGATGCTTACGAAATGCTAATTTACAATCAAAATAAACACCTAAATCCTTAACACAGTCATGTCTAGACAGCTGAGTGTTATGAATGCTATAATCGTAATTTAAAATTGTTTGTTTCCTGTGAAAAGTAATAATACAACACTTATCAATGTTCAATATTAATTCATTTAGTTTGCACCAATCGCTAAATCTGCTGATATCCTCTTGTAGCTGAATTTGATCAAACTGACAAGTAATGACTTTATAGATTTTTTTATCATCAGCAAAGTTGAGAAATTTTGAATACTTAATGACTTTCTCAACATTGTTAACAAAGAGGACACAAAGTAGAGGACCACAATGTGACCATTGTGGAGAGGATGTCAATAGATTGAGACAACACACAATTTATCTTAATGCTCTCAAAACTGACAAGAAAACTATTATACCAATCAAGCCATTTGCCAGCTATACCAATGGCTTCTAATTTACTGATTAAATAATGTTAGTGCCAAACCGGACCTGTTCCGAATTCCAGACGATGGTACGAGGGGTGCGGGTTGCTCCCCCACTCACCGAGAAAAGACACAGTCCACTACAAGCTTTCGAAGAATAAAGACAATTTAAAAAATATATTTGTGTATCGCTATTGTTTTAAACTTTATAATAAAAACGTGAAATTCTCAAAACTTACACTATTTATTAACATAAAAGTTGGTTCTTCGACCGGATTTAAAACAAATTAGTTTTCAACCCGATTTGATATCGACAAATCGCTTTTTACTTGTATTGGATAAGTTACATTTATTCAATACAACAACAGAAAAATACCTGCATTGGACCTTTTACTGACGACAGCGGATTAACTTAACAGCTGGACGTGCCATAAACAGGTTAGTGTGCTCTTTCATTCTGGTGTCCGTTCGTTTCTATCTGACAATATTTACTGTATTTTATTCATATTCTAATTTGAAATTTTATTTACTCAATTTCACATTCATTTTAGAATAACGACACAGTAATTATTACAATCACACAGATTAACTTCATTTCAATAATCATTTTTAACATTTTTTTCATTAAACATATAGCGATATATTTCAATTTGTCTTTACTAAAATACATATATACAGGGTGTAATATTATACAAATTTAAAATGTCTTCTGCTAAAGTTACTCGTACTTCAATTAAAGCAACCCTTACTCGTTTTAGTAACTATTTTAACGCGATTAAAGATTTGAGATGTGATGAAATCGACTTATACGAACTGCAACAGCGATTAAATAAAGCTGAAACACTGCTAGACGATTTCAACACAGCTCAATCAACAATCGAAGCACAAGATACTGATTTTGATGCTAATTGTGAGGTTCATTCCCGCGAGAGAGAGAAATTTGAAAACGATTTTTACAAAATTATTGCAGCTACTAAAAAACTAACTACTTCTCTTACTAATACCAATAATACACTTGATAACAATGATAGCATTAGCTCTGCAGAAAGTAACTTTTCAAACATTCGTTTACCACAGTTAAACTTACCAACATTTGATGGTTCTTTTGACCAATGGCTTTTCTTTAGAGATAGTTTTACATCCATTATACATGAAAATTCATCTATGTCTAAAGTACAAAAATTTCACTACCTGCGGCTTTCCTTACAAGGAAAAGCAGCAGACAAAGTTAAATCATTACAATTGTGTGACGCAAATTATGACATTGCTTGGAAGCTACTTAAAGATCGTTTTGAGGACAAACAGATTCTTATTAAAAATCACATTAAGGCTCTTTTTGATCTACCTTCTTTGACAAAAGAATCTTATTATGGCTTAACATCAATTCGCGATGGAATCGAGAAGAACTTGAACGCATTAAAGGTGCTACAACGGCCTACTGAACATTGGGATGATTTAATTATATACCTTGTTACCAATAAATTTGATAACATAACAAAACGAGCCTGGGAATCGCGTACTGATGCAAAGAACATTCCAACATTGCAAAATTTACTCACCTTTTTGGAAGAACGTTGTCGTATCTTATCATCATTAACCCAGCATCAGGACGAAGATCACACGAAACACACTGGATTCAAACAATCACATAGGCACACAAAATCATTTGTTTCTACCACTGCAACTACTTGCACTTTG